TGTGCAAATTTGGGCCACGTGACCTTTGCTGACCTCTGTAGGTCAAACGGCTGGGAGTGCCACCGAATGACTTAGACTGTGGATTGGGCTTGTCATGGCCTACATTGTGTGCGAGTTTCAGCTTGATCGGAGGTGTCCCGAATCTGGGCTGAATCCGGGCGGCGTCGTATTGAGTGTCGTTTATTTGCACATTTTGACCTGCCGAGATCAAACGGGGTCACATATCGAAAAGCGGTTTTTAAGGAAAGTTACTACGGCCTATGGGCTACCCGATCATGTGCTTTGATTTGGAATTCGGTCAATCCATCTACTCGAAAACTGCTGTGCAAGTGTATTTGCGACATAGCCCACAAATGACCTTAGGTCATCGCATGACCTTGAGAGGTCAAATGAGTGTTGGGAAAGTAAGATTAGATGCTGGCGAGTCGATTGGTGCCATTTTTAGCGCTCTAGTTCTACTGGGTGGGCCACAATCTGCTGTGCAAATTTGGGCCACGTGACCTTTGTTGACCTCTGTAGGTCAAACGGCTGGGAGTGCCACCGAATGACTGGGACTGTGGATTGGGCTTGTCATGGCCTACACGGTGTGCGAGTTTCAGATTGATCGGAGGTGTCCCGAATCTGGGCTGAATCCGGGCGGCGTCGTATTGAGTGTCGTTTATTTGCACATTTTGACCTGCCGAGGTCAAACGGGGTCACATATCGAAAAGCAGTTTTTAAGGAAAGTTACTACGGCCTATGGGCTACCCGATCATGTGCTTTGATTTGGAATTCGGTCAATCCATCTACTCGAAAACTGCTGTGCAAGTGTATTTGCGATATAGCCCACAAATGACCTTAGGTCATCGAATGACCTTGAGAGGTCAAATGAGTGTTGGGAAAGTAAGATTAGATGCTGGCGAGTCGATTGGTGCCATTTTTAGCGCTCTAGCTCTACTGGGTGGGCCACAATCTGCTGTGCAAATTTGGGCCACGTGACCTTTGCTGACCTCTGTAGGTCAAACGGCTGGGAGTGCCACCGAATGACTTAGACTGTGGATTGGGCATGTCATGGCCTACACGGTGTGCGAGTTTCAGCTTGATCGGAGGTGTCCCGAATCTGGGCTGAATCCGGGCTGCGACGTATTGAGTGTCGTTTATTTGCACATTTTGACCTGCCGAGGTCAAACGGGGTCACATATCGAAAAGCGGTTTTAAGGAAAGTTACTACGGCCTATGGGCTACCCGATGATGTGCTTTGATTTGGAATTCGGTCAATCCATCTACTCGAAAACTGCTGTGCAAGTGTATTTGCGATATAGCCCACAAATGACCTTAGGTCATCGAATGACCTTGAGAGGTCAAATGAGTAATGGGAAAGTAAGATTAGATGCTGGCGAGTCGATTGGTGCCATTTTTAGCGCTCTAGCTCTACTGGGTGGGCCACAATCTGCTGTGCAAATTTGGGCCACGTGACCTTTGCTGACCTCTGTAGGTCAAACGGCTGGGAGTGCCACCGAATGACTTAGACTGTGGATTGGGCTTGTCATGGCCTACATTGTGTGCGAGTTTCAGCTTGTTCGGAGGTGTCCCGAATCTGGGCTGAATCCGGGCGGCGTCGTATTGAGTGTCGTTTATTTGCACATTTTGACCTGCCGAGGTCAAACGGGGTCACATATCGAAAAGCGGTTTTTAAGGAAAGTTACTACGGCCTATGGGCTACCCGATCATGTGCTTTGATTTGGAATTCGGTCAATCCATCTACTCGAAAACTGCTGTGCAAGTGTATTTTCGACATAGCCCACAAATGGCCTTAGGTCATCGCATGACCTTGAGAGGTCAAATGAGTGTTGAGAAAGTAAGATTAGATGCTGGGGAGTCGATTGGTGCCATTTTTAGCGCTCTAGTTCTACTGGGTGGGCCACAATCTGCTGTGCAAATTTGGGCCACGTGACCTTTGTTGACCTCTGTAGGTCAAACGCCTGGGAGTGCCACCGAATGACTGGGACTGTGGATTGGGCATGTCATGGCCTACACGGTGTGCGAGTTTCAGATTGATCGGAGGTGTCCCGAATCTGGGCTGAATCCGGGCGGCGTCGTATTGAGTGTCGTTTATTTGCACATTTTGACCTGCCGAGGTCAAACGGGGTCACATATCGAAAAGCGGTTTTTAAGGAAAGTTACTACGGCCTATGGGCTACCCGATCATGTGCTTTGATTTGGAATTCGGTCAATCCATCTACTCGAAAACTGCTGTGCAAGTGTATTTGCGATATAGCCCACAAATGACCTTAGGTCATCGAATGACCTTGAGAGGTCAAATGAGTGTTGGGAAAGTAAGATTAGATGCTGGCGAGTCGATTGGTGCCATTTTTAGCGCTCTAGCTCTACTGGGTGGGCCACAATCTGCTGTGCAAATTTGGGCCACGTGACCTTTGCTGACCTCTGTAGGTCAAACGGCTGGGAGTGCCACCGAATGACTTAGACTGTGGATTGGGCTTGTCATGGCCTACATTGTGTGCGAGTTTCAGCTTGATCGGAGGTGTCCCGAATCTGGGCTGAATCCGGGCGGCGTCGTATTGAGTGTCGTTTATTTGCACATTTTGACCTGCCGAGATCAAACGGGGTCACATATCGAAAAGCGGTTTTTAAGGAAAGTTACTACGGCCTATGGGCTACCCGATCATGTGCTTTGATTTGGAATTCGGTCAATCCATCTACTCGAAAACTGCTGTGCAAGTGTATTTGCGACATAGCCCACAAATGACCTTAGGTCATCGCATGACCTTGAGAGGTCAAATGAGTGTTGGGAAAGTAAGATTAGATGCTGGCGAGTCGATTGGTGCCATTTTTAGCGCTCTAGTTCTACTGGGTGGGCCACAATCTGCTGTGCAAATTTGGGCCACGTGACCTTTGTTGACCTCTGTAGGTCAAACGGCTGGGAGTGCCACCGAATGACTTGGACTGTGGATTGGGCATGTCATGGCCTACATTGTGTGCGAGTTTCAGCTTGATCGGAGGTGTCCCGAATCTGGGCTGAATCCGGGCTGCGACGTATTGATTGTCGTTTATTTGCACATTTTGACCTGCCGAGGTCAAACGGGGTCACATATCGAAAAGCGGTTTTTAAGGAAAGTTACTACGGCCTATGGGCTACCCGATGATGTGCTTTGATTTGGAATTCGGTCAATCCATCTACTCGAAAACTGCTGTGCAAGTGTATTTGCGACATAGCCCACAAATGACCTTAGGTCATCGCATGACCTTGAGAGGTCAAATGAGTGTTGGGAAAGTAAGATTAGATGCTGGCGAGTCGATTGGTGCCATTTTTAGCGCTCTAGCTCTACTGGGTGGGCCACAATCTGCTGTGCAAATTTGGGCTACGTGACCTTTGCTGACCTCTGTAGGTCAAACGGCTGGGAGTGCCACCGAATGACTTAGACTGTGGATTGGGCTTGTCATGGCCTACATTGTGTGCGAGTTTCAGCTTGATCGGAGGTGTCCCGAATCTGGGCTGAATCCGGGCTGAATCTGGGCTGAATATGGGCTGTCTTGACAGACATCTAGTGCTAGGGCGTATTTTGCGTTTTTTTTTTTTTTTACTGGGGAAATGATTATGACCAGGAATAGCACTCTGCAAACTTCTATGGGCGCCTGCATAGGGGCGAAACTGATTTTCCAGTGCAGGGACGGCCATCGGCATTGTGGGGCGGCATTCATTCCACTGGGGCGTCTGCCAGTGTTGAAGGGCGGTATTCATTTCAATGGGGCGCCCGTTGGTGTTGATGGGCGACATGTATCACCTGGGGCGCCTATCGGAGATTGGGGCGGCATTAATTTCACTGAGGCGCCTATCGGCGTTGACGGGTGGTATTTATTCATCCGGGGCGCTTATGGGTGGTATAGGCCGGCATTCGCTTCACTGAGGTGCCTATCGGTGTTTTAAGGCGGCAGTAAATCCACTGGTGTCTGGGGCGCCTACCGGCGTCGAAAGGCGACATTTATAATTCATTTTACTGGGAGGCATATTGGTGTTGATGTGTAACATTCATTCTCCTGGGGCGCCCGGCAATGAGAGGGCGGCATTTATTCCGTTCCCCTGGGATGGGCCCCTATCGGTGTGGAGGCGTCGCCGTCGTATTAGTTTGAAATGGGGGCACCTCTGGGTGGTAATAGATGCATTCATTTCGCTGGGACACCTACCAGCGTTGATTGCCTGTATTCATTCATTTCGGGCTCCTATCGGTGTTGAAAGGCGGCATTTATTTCACTGGGGCGTCACAAACCTGCTACTCCCACCATAAACCTCAGCCTATTCACTTCACGTTAGCAGTAACTAGAAGTCTCTTAGCCTCGGCATAGAGTCTCGGGTGTGTCCTGTACATTGTCAAAATACAGAAGTGTTTGGTTGGAATGGATTTTTTTTTTTTAATGCTTGAATGACATTGAGCCAGGATGTCCGTTCCGAAGGGCTGACGTGATACTAATGACACCACTGAATGCAATAGTGCAGTGCAGCCCAGGCGGCATACTGCTTACCGGCCTGCAATTCTCTGTCACCGAGTTAGTGTTATGGATTCGGCGCCTTATTCACTAGTCCACACGAAGGTATTGGAACCGTGGAACTCTTTTCTATATGCCTTATTCGGAGAATCTTATGATATGGCGATGAAGTTGTTTCTAAACGAACATTATGAAGGTTACATTTACGCTATGGAATGTACCTAACTATTTCTCGTTACATAAAAACTGTAATTCTGAACGTGTTAACCGAGGTACAACACATTGTCAAACGTCTCTTCACTATTTGTGTTACTACAACGGTGTTTATGGTAAGGGGCGCCCAGCGGGAAGGGGCGCTTCAATATAGTTTGCACCCCTATCCTAGAATACCTTCCGCCGCCACTGCTTTTTCCAGTAGGTAGGTACCTCAAATATGCGCTTGGGAAAGCAGCAATACACGTGCTAACTGCTAATGCACTTATTTGACTATTGCCAGTTCAGTGTTCACAAAATGCACATTTATTGTGCAACATATGTATTCAAGCTACACATGACGAAACAAGAGCCTGCCCCCTACTACGTAATTTCCATCCTCCAGTCCAATAACAACACACCTTGTGTCCCACTCCCATGCGGTCTTTTGGCACGTAATTTTGCGACAGCTTACATCCATCCTAACTCTCAGTGCTTGAGGCCGTGAAACAAACACACATGCATCACGAATCGTCGCCTATTCAGGGGCAATCTCCAAGGATCCGTAGCATGAAGAACACGTTACATTTATTCGCAAATCACTAAAAATGAGCTCAAGCGTGTTCACTATACTTGTGAGCGATAGCCTCACCGTTCAAAAAGCTCGCGGCAAGCCACAAACAACAGAACCTAGTGTTCCTCGACTGTTCATATCACATACTCGTGTCTTTTATCACATGAATATCACGCTGGCATCAAAGCCGATTCAATGACGCGTCAGAGAGATCATTACGAGTTACTCGTGGGCGTTACGTTCACTGGCTTTCTTTGCTGGTTGGTCCTTCTGCGTCGGGAACATCCCCGCTATCGTCCCCCATCCACTCATCCCAGTCAGCATCGCACAGCTCAGTTACCCACTGTTCGGAAACAGCCGCCGCGACCGCGTCGTCCGTCGCGCTTCCGTCACTCCGCTGTGAGTGTGACAGCCCCGTCTCACTCACGCTTGGAGCGCGCTCCTTGCCCGACTCTGTCGATTCGCCGTCGGCGTCTGGCCGCTCGCCGTCCTCACTCGCCAGCTGTTGGAACAGATCGGTGATGAGCGGCTGTCCGTCGGAGGTGCGCTGCCGGTCCTCGTCCGCCTCGGTGAAGTCGTCCTTGCTCAGTCCGGCCCGGTTCAGCACGTCCAGCTTGCGCTGCACCAGCGGCCAGATGTGGTCGTCGGCCGTGCCGCGGGCCACCAGGTACCGGATCTGACGAACGCCGACAAAACCACGGTCATTGATATAATACATTAGCCGACCGAAGTAAATAACGAAACAGATACGAATGTTGATTCAAAATGTTGACAGATACGAATGTTGATTTTGAATATATTTGATTTGTAGAATTGTTTTATTATTTACTTACATCATTATCCAGATACGAATGTCACGAGCGCGATTATCTACTACTAACCTTACCTAACTGCACGCACGAAACTTGCAGTGAGATGCTTTAATCACTCCCTGGTAATATCGCGAAAAATTGAAATTTCTCGGCCACAGATAACAGTAGTACTGACACCTCTTCGTTTTGCACGTGGCACGTGCATTAGGGGTCACCCATACGCATCGAGAACAGCACACTACGTGTAAGAAGGGAAGAGGCTATCCCACACAAAAGACCGCGAGTGAATCAGTCCAGTGGTTGCAGAGATTATCTACTGCTAACCTTACCTAACTGCACGCACGAAACTTGCAGTGAGATGCTTTAATCACTCCCTGGTAATATCGCGAAAAATTGAAATTTCTCGGCCACAGATAACAGTAGTACTGACACCTCTTCGTTTTGCACGTGGCACGTGCATTAGGGGTCACCCATACGCATCGAGAACAGCACACTACGTGTAAGAAGGGAAGAGGCTATCCCACACAAAAGACCGCGAGTGAATCAGTCCAGTGGTTGCAGAGATATAAGCTTTGCAAAGGCGCCCCCACGGCGACCGACTGCTAATATTTAGCAATAATCAGTGTCACATCCGCACACGGGAGGTATCCCCGTCACCTGTTCGTATACTCTGATGTGGTTGGGTTCAAGTCACAGTCGAGCCCTGATTTTTTACAGCTTTTCTTAAAAACGGCACATCGTGCAGTGACGTGCTATACATTGTTGGAAAGAGCATCGAAAGTTGTATATTTTATTAACTTTTCACTTTGGTATATCTGCAACGTAAAAAGTTATTAAGCAACAAAGACGCTCCCATTGACTTTCCATGTTAAAAATTTTCATTTTCAAACGAACTTTATTAGAAAAAACGATTTCTGCCAGCTTAACGAAGCATACCAGCATGTACTATGCTCTTTTCTCTACAAGATATAAGAGTTTGGGCGAAATCTATCTCTAAAATTTTGTACAAAGATCGAATGAAAATGTCTCTGCAAAGTCTGGACATCGCCGTCCATTGACATTTATTCGCATTTATTCGCATTTATGTACTACTGTTATCTGTGTCTCGGCGCATAACATGCTTTCCAGTTTCCGCATGCAAGTTAGAACGCTCAGAGAGAGAGAGAGAGAAAAAAACATATTGCGGCCCCTCACCTGGACACTGTCCTGCTGTCCGATGCGGTGGGCCCGATCCTCCGCCTGGGTGAGCACGCCTGGGTTCCAGAACAGCTCGGCGAACACCACCAGGCTCGCGGCGGTGAGCGTCAGGCCAGTGTTGGCCGCCGTGATGGACAGCACGGCCACACGAACGGACGAGCTGCTCTGGAATCGGTCACACTCGCGTTTCCGCTGGGCGGCCTGCGTGGAGCCGTCGATCCGGATGTGCTGGTCCTTGCGTCGCTCCAGGAGCTCGCACACGGCGTCCATGACGACCCGGTGGTGTGCGAAGCAGATGAACTTGGCGCCCGAGTCGAGCAGATCCTCCAAGTACGAACAGACCGCCGGTAGCTTGGCAGTGGCAGTTTCTCGGAAGTACTCTAGCAGAGCGCCACGTCGCTCCGCAGCCTTCAGTGACGCTTTGGCCATGCGAGTCTCCATGGCGTTCATCTTCTTGGTGCGGCAGTGCACCTGGCCAGGGTCCAGCAGCACCAGGTGGCGCTGCTTCGACGGCAGCTGGGTTATCACATCTCGCTTCAGGCGGCGGATCATGATGCGCCGCTCCAGCAGGATCTGCAGCTCGGTCATGCGCGACGAGCCCGAGAAGTCCCATCCCCAGGCGTTGCGCTTCCCGTCGCAGTAGCGGAGCCCAAAGTCGTTGAACACCGGCATGAATTTCCTGTCGATGGCACTAATTTGCGTGTAAAGCTCCACCGGCCGGGAGAGCGCCGGCGTGCCGCTGAGGAGGAGCGCGCGGCGAGCGGCGCGCAGCAGCGGCAGCGCCGCCCGGGTGCGCGCCGCCTTCGGGTTCTTCAGGTTATGGGACTCGTCCATGATGACTGAGCGGAATCCCACATCACGCAGCTGTTTGGAACAGCGAGACAGCAAATCGTACGAGACGATGAGCACGCGCGCTTCAGCGGTGAAGTCCTTCGAAGAGTCCATTACCATGATGGTCGAGGGATGCTGTGACGGAAGGAAACGCAGAAACTCATTGCGCCACTGGTACCGCATGGATGACGGACAAACAACGAGCAGGGGCCAGTCGTGGAAATGACTAGCGATGCCGATAGCCTGTATTGTCTTGCCGAGACCCATGTCGTCAGCGAGGAGCACCCGTCCGTCTCGAGCCACCCCCATTTTGATTCCTTCCCGCTGGAAGGGCATCAGTGCCTCGAGCAATGTCGCGTCCAGGGTGGAGAGGTCGACCTTGCCTGCGTCTGGAGCGGGCTGACGGAGACAGCGCAGCACGTGAGCAGGCAGCGGTGCCACTGCAACACCTGGGTGGAGCGGCTTCAGAGCAGCCATCAGCTGATCGTGGCGAGAGACAGGGAAGGACCAATGACGCTCGTCTGGATGATAGCGCCGGTCCGGCACTTTCTGGAACATGGCTATCATGTCTTGGTTGTAGCCCACTTCCACCATGAAACGATCAGCAGAAATCAAATGGCAGCTGCCAGCCACCACCTGTTTTTTCGTCCCGTAAAAGGACTCCTTGTTGATCGGCACCGTGTTGGTTCTCGAACCCGATGCGCGATTTGTGCTCTGGAAGTGAGGCGAGGAGCTCCCTTGTTTGGAATTAAATGTCCCGTCATATTTCCGTTTCAGCGGAACGATTGTTGGTTTATGGTTTGCTACTTTGGTAAGTTCGGCATTCCCAGTAGAGGCATGGGAAGGCTGTGTCTGACTTCTCTCAGCACGTCTCAATAATGCTTTTCGCCGGTTTTCCTCAATCCTCAGCTTTTGTTCTTCAGTTAAAGATGACATTTCGTAAAGGCAATTAGTCAGATTGCGTCCATCACCTCAGAGCTGTAAAATGTAAGATAGTTTATATTATAGCACTCAAGAAAATGTACTTTGAAATAGCATGCCAGCACCATTTGGCAGTTACTCAACAATGAGTTAATGAAAAAAGTTGATAATCAGTTAAACTGCCATAAATCACCATAAATCAGTTAAACTACCCACAAATGTCAGCCATCAGGTTAATTGGTACCACAAGGCACAAACAGTGATAACTGGTAGGTAAAGCATACCACAATGTTCTTGCACAGGCACACGGTTCACAATCGTGGTAACATTTATCATCCGAAAGAGCATCTGCTGAAATCTAATCTTAACATTGAAATTTCCCACAGTCATACATTTTTAGTACCAACTGTGCATTTCACTCAGACTCACAGTGAGACCAGCCCAAGACCAAAATGAAAGAGCACATTGACATCCTAATTTCTCTTGATATCAGTGAGCATTGGCACTAGCAGTAGCGTAAAAAACTGAAGTTTTACCGCGCAACTACTTCATAGTTTGTGGTTTGTGCTAAGCAATAAAATTGAAAGTGGTAGCCAGGGCTGCGGAGTCGGAGTCGGTCGGAGTCGACAGTTGTGACCGGAGTCGGAGTTGGAGTCGGAGTCAATTTTAGAAACCCGAGCCAGAGTCGGAGTCGGAGTCACCGAAAATCTGTCGACTCCGCAGCTCTGCCGGGTCTGCGGAGTCGGAGTCGGGAGTTGGAGTCGGTCGGAGTCGACAATTCTGCCCGGAGTCGGAGTCTGAGTCGGAGCTGGTTTTTGAAAGCCGGAGCCGGAGTCGGAGTCGGAGTCGCCGAAAATCCATCGACTCCGCAGCCCTGGTGGTAGCAGACTAAATGCGTTGGTCAGGGTGGTGTTTCATGGTGCTGCGCTGCAGCGCACTGCCCTGCAGTTGCCTGCAGTAGTGCACTGCGCACAGAGCTGTATTGGGTTAACATGGAAACATCAACAAACCCGGATGCTTGCAGTGCTGGAGCATCAAGTCAAATTTGTCTATCGCCGCACCAATGCAGCAGCACAGCACACTGCACGAGTGCAGCGTCATGCCTTGACACATGCAAACACAATTTTCTCCCTGCATCAGCTCAAAAACATTGCATACAGTTCAAGTTGAATTGAATGATTCAGATTGTTTGGACTGAGACCAACGTTCTTTTTAATTTCCTTGGCTATTTCTTTGCCTAGGTACCTATGTATAACGATCATACAAGCAAACAACAAGAAAGCAAGTGCCAAGGAAAATAACGCAGTCTGCACTCTGCAGGGTAGGATGTTGATCATATCAATATTATTGAATCAAATACTCTCTCCGGTGAAAATTACATATTGATATATATATGCTTTCGGTCCCCGCGTCCAAACACGTCGACGGGCACCTTCACTACTATACCCTGCCTTGACCCTGCCTACTGTAGCCTTTCTCATAAAGCTTTGTCTAGTAAAAAGTAATAGTAAAAAGCACGATTTTACTGTTGACCAGTAAAATTTTGTTTTATAAAGCAAAAATTACTTTTACCTGGAGTTGCAAATTTACTAGGTTACTATAGCGCAGTTTTACTGGTGACCAGTAGGAAGATCCTGGGTTGTGTTTCATAAAAGCACGTGCCCTAGTAAAAAAGTCGAATGACGTTTGCTTTCGTGCTGTCAATTTCACCCTTGCTCTACCTTGCAGTAAAACAGCTTAGGAGTTATGCTTTTAGCTTTAATTGTACTTTATGTCTTAATGCATGCCCTGAGTTTTCGGCATAAGCCTTTTATTGACAAATAACAAACTTCATTTTTTCTTTAAAAACATCTATTGTTGCTAAAACCTCACGATAAATCATATGAAAAGTTGGCTCTCCATCCTGGCAAACTGAACGAGGTCAAGCGTATTTTTAGCAAGCTAATGTGAAGTGGAGATATGTTCAAAACGTTCAAAATGTGAACTGCGATGGATTTTCATTGAAGGAGAGACATTAATTGAAAAAGGACAAGACACACGGACAACGGGCAATCACTGAAACATAATAAAGGAAGACCCAGTAACCGAAGCATTTTCGATGTCGGCATAGAATAAACCTATAGAGCCTTGGAATAAACGCAAGTCCAACATTATCCTACTACTTGAACCTGAACCTGAAGTGAAAGAAACGTAATTGGTCTTGTGAGTACAAAATGACGCTGAATACTTTGTGGGTGCTGAACACTTAGATGCAGCTTGAAGCAAAATAGCGCTCACCGCCGTGACCATTGATGGTTCGAGGGGCACGTTGGAGTATTTGTCCCCCTCTGCAGCGCCCAAAGGTACGAACTTACGCATTTTTCCTCGCATTGAGAGGGAAATCAACAACTTTTATAAGAAGTTTGATTTAAACAGCACAAATAGGCATAATATATCACAATAATTTTTGAAAAAGCAAAAATGAAGCACATTATTGGGGAGCATGCCTCCCCCAGCATATCAAATAACTTCTGGATCTTCTAATGACTTTACCGGTTGGTCGGACGGAGTCATGCATTACATCAGTGATGCCATCCACTGGGGCTATTGTGTGCGACGTTCTCGTATGCCCACCTACAAGCAGCGTTGTAGGTAAGTGACGGTCAGCTACGAGCGGGATCTGCCGGCTATCGAAGTCATGTGCTCAAATAACTAACCGTGCACACTGCACAGTGTGAAGGAGAAGGCCGACGAGCAAATAGCAACTTTGACCGCGGCGCGGGAGCGCCCGTACGAGCTCATATTGGGCCGTACTGGCGGCACGTGGGAGATCTGTTTTCTCGCCCATGTGTTGTAGATACGTAAGTGTCTGTGCGGTTGTGGCTTGTGCGTTTGTAATCTTTGATATAACCATGTGAATATGTAGCTACAACAAAATACATGCAACTGAAATGTGATAGGCATTTTTTAAAAAGCCACGTACAGATTTGGTACGGACTAGGCTAGCCGAGGCAGGGAAATCCAACCCAGGGAAAGTCTAGTCCAATCCAGTGCCCGGGTCTGGGGGTGTTTCCCTTTCCTTTGCATTGCTCTGTAAATGAAGCAGCTACCAAAAATGAAATTTTAGTGACCAGACGAAAGGTCGCAACAAAATAAATCTCCACATTAAAAATTGAGCTCGAGCCAATTTAGGTCAAAATTCAAAGCCAACTTGATTGCAGGGATCCTTAACTTAATGGCAAGAAGCGCACGGAATGCTGAAATATTTTAAAAGTGGGTGTGCCGTGGGGGCCTGCTTTAAAAACTCTGACCCCCTTCCATCGAAAACAATATCTAGTTGCGTCAGCTATCTCTAAATCGCATGATTCATCAAACATTCGCCGGTTCCTTCATGGCATAAACCTATGTTATTTGATAGCTCGTTCAATTATCGATACGTGGATGCTGGTCCCGTGCCGATCATTGGTCTAGCTACCAAGATATATAGCCAGAACTGCAACGGTGTCTACCGCATTTCGACGGTCAAAATAAAATTAAAAAGATATCTTCCACACGGAGGTCCCATGACAGTCGGTGACACTACAGGGAAATAAGCTAAAATTAGAGCGCTCTATTTATTGCTCCCGCTACTTCACCGTCTCCCATAGGGTCCTGTGTTGAGCTGGTGTCGAGGCTCTAAAAATGACGCCGATTTTTGCACCCTTCTCACGAAAACCGCTCGGACCGCCTGGAAACTAATTGTTCCGCTCTAAAAATTTCATGATCGACGGGAAAATGAACGAGGAAAAGGTTGGTCCTGAAATAATTCTGAACTCCCTGTAGAACATATCGAAACATGGCTGCAAACTAGGAGCATGTCAAAATCGACAAAACAATACAAATAAATTTCCCGGGATTTTTTTATTTTCCATGCATCTGTGTATGAAATCAGTCGGTTTTTCGGAAAGATCGTCTTCTGTTTAATAAATAATTCCATAATTGCAATCGAGAAAAAAAAACATTTCTGCTGTGACAGCAGTTTTGGCATTGTGCCAGTAGTGTGGCGTGCGCGGTGCTGCGTGGTCGTCGGGACGGAGTCGTGAGTATTTTCGGTGTTTTAAATGGTTGATGGCCATTTGAACCAGCTTTATATTATTTCCTACCAATTTTTGCATCAAATTATTGCTTTGAAAGACCATTGAAGCCCCTTATCTCTTCATGAAACACGATCATATTAATCGTCGACGAAAATGGCGCGTGACTCCATGTGCGTTTCGATCGAAATAAATCGTAAATTAAATAATATTCGATGATAAGTATCATATTCTAGTGACACGTTTTCATAAAATAAGGCATAAACTTTGCAAGGAAGTCAACATTGGATAATTGGATTCTTATTTTGCTCACATATCCTTGTGGTAGTCAAATGGCTCAATTGTTAGATAAATGTAAATATATGGTTTGGCTTGATGTTTGCTGTTAAACCACCCAGCCACTTGCTGGTTGAGTGGTTTTCTGATAATTACCTGATAATCATTTCTCCTTTTCCTTAAAAGAAACAAATTCTTTTCAAAGTAACCCATTTTTGGAAAGGCGGCCTGCTCATTGACATTTCATGTTCTTGTTTTGTTATTGCTGGCAGTATTTTGATACAATAATGCAATATGAATTTTTTTGTGTAATAATAAGACCTAAGACAAACTTAGCTAATGCGTCAATCAAACACCCAACAGAAAGATTGTGAGTCCTTGTGACGTGAAGTAGAATATTCTATGAATGTGTTTTATAGGATATGCCAAATTTTAAATTATTTTATTATTTGATACTGATAGCTGAGCATGTGAATTATGCCACAATATAATTTCATTTTCTGGTATTGAAATAGCCGGCAGTATTTTACTTCAACAAATGTAATATACATGGAATACATGTTGTTATGTTATGTTAAAAGTTTAATAACAGCCAACAGAAGGGGCTGTTTCAGCAGATAATGTTTGTACCTTATGCATTACCTTTCTTTTCTGCAGGACCATGCTTCCGCTGGGTGGTCGACATTTGCCTCCTGAAGAAGTTGAGCAACATGAAGACCACCAGATGAGGTGTCTGCAGTTCATGTGGAACTCTGCAGACTACAAGTGTTTTGCCAACCTCAACCAAAGTGCTGTGATCATGGAGGCATGAATCTCATAATAACACTTCAGATTTGCAGTTGTATCAAAGTGTGATTCAAACCACCTGTGGCATCTCACTCAAAGCGTGAACAGTGTGATCATTGTGCAGTGTTCAGCTGCAACTAAGACATATTTTATTAGTGACTTGTTTTGCAATAAGCCACCAAAAGCATTTTTTGGGCTGGCCGCTGTAATATGTTGTGCACTGCGCAATATTGGTAGTGTTTTGTCACTTGTCAAGTTGTCAGTTGTGCATGTTGCCTGTTTCTCTGCCCTCAGCCCTCATTATCAGTTAAGTGGTGAATTGGCATCACTCAGTCTCCCCAGATCTCCATTGACTGTCTGTCAACCACCTAACTTGAGATGGTATTTGTTAATAGTGTCGGAAAGGAAGTGATTGTAGACATTTTTAGGAATATGAGCTCCGTTTCATGCGTGTTCCAGTGGTCATTTTGTCACATGTCCCATAGTGTAATAAATGGAAACTGTTGTTCCCTTTTGAAGGTAGGTACTCGCGGATGCAGAAAGCGTTGGGCCTAATTATTAAACGCACCCTCTTATCAGCGACGCACGAAATCGACAAATATCATCCTTTTTAGAACAGGAGGAAACGAAAACTTGTGAACGTAGCTGTACCTACAACAGTGCATAAGGAATTGAAATTCTGGGAGTTTTTGAAATTCGGAGAAACTCAAGTTGTCGACAGGTATGCCCCCTTGTACGTCAAAGACCGCTTAAAAAACAAACGTCTACAAATGAAGGCAGTATTCGTATGTTCGTTGTAATTGCAGCAGCCTAGCAACATGCATTGCGGTCCGATGGCGAATTAAACTCGTGCTCAAAAACTATGCCGGTAACTGCCAATGCACTTAGGTCATAGGTGAGGAGAGGAAGGGTTATGTCAAATGTCAACATCATAGAAATGGCTTCATCTATTGAGCTGTGCCTATTGTACATAATTCAACCAATCTATGCATTTCGTTTCTTGCAATCTACTCATGCTTTCACTCCAGCTTCAGAGTAATCATCCCATATTGTACGTCTTAAGATATTGATTTCTATGGCGGTTTGCAATTGCTAGCCACGTCTTACCTCAGTTTGGTGGCCCCGCATCGGCCCACTCGGCCGCTCTAAAATTGACTTACGGAGGAGGATGGTGGCTTTTATTTTAGCTTCTCCACTGACTGCGGGGAGCGCCGTCGCCGAGGTAGAAGCAATAATTAGCTTATGTTTGGGACTAATTTCCACGCTTAATCAACATTTTAATGTTATTTTAATTAATTCATTGTAATCTTTGACGCATTCTCTTTCTATTGATACCATCCACCGGTCTGAGAATTACTGCCTTGCTGCGTAAGGGCCGATAAAAGATCACGTTTTTAGGGGTATCTCTTCAACATGGGGCAGGAGCAATAAATAGAGCACTCTAATTTTAGCTTATTTCCCTGGTATGTCACCAACTGATGACTCGTTTTCAAGCGTTACTGAGCTTCGAAATCTTACTCTTTTACTAATTACTTTTCACTATTGTTTATGAGACAGAGGGCAACAGTGATTAGTAAACTTGAAATCACTATTCTACTATACACCAGTAATAGTAAAAAATGTTTATGAGAAAGGCTCTGTTGTTATTTATCAATTCCATCCACTAGGCAATTGACGTCTGCAACATTACACTGTTCGACAAACCAGCACTTCAAAACCTAGCGCTCACGGTTTCCATGAAAATACCAGCAGAATTATGCATTGAGATTTGAGATTTCAGGATGACGTCATTTAGAAATAGTAATGCTAGCACATTCTATACTATTTCAGAAATGGCGCAGGTTTTACATTTATGATTATACACGGAGTTCGTGCTTGCACGTGGGCGGACGGTGGACCCCATCGACAAATTCAAATTGCAGCCGATTGCAAACTTGCAGTGTGCGGGAAGCATACATTAATTTTTAGAAAGAGGGCCGTGGGGTACAGGCGCTTAGTACCAAAAGCATGGTATTCTATTATAGAAGGTGTTAGAAGATGCTCAACTACATTTTGATTTTTGAACTATATTATATTCAAGACAAAGTGGCTGCAAAATGCAACCTAGACTGGAATGCAGTCCTAGAGCTTGGCTAGAACTTTGATTTCGTAGCAAGGGGTATATCATGATATAGACTGTGCCGTAAAATACCTCTCAGGTAGGTACATCTGAGAAATTGGACTGATATGATTTTCAGGCTTTGCATTCCATTGGCTAGTTCTGACTTGAACCCTGGCTGGATCCAGCTTGGACATGTTGATGTGCCCTGCTTGGATCCTCGATCCCGGATCATTGATTCAGGATGAATCTTGAGTGATTTTCTGGGCTGTGCTTTTTTCTGGACAATTGGCAGCTGGCACCGTCTGGTGGCGCTAGCAGAGCTTGTTATATATCAATGCCAGATACAAATTAGGTTCTACTAAATATCCATTTCTTAATTTTACAGTGAGTGCCATTTTGCGTGTTCATGTCCATCTCCTACCGTGTTTATATCAATAAATAACAGCTATTGTACATCGCCAGCTGGCCAGCCAGCTGATTTTATCCAGTTGTTATTGAGGCCTGATTTTCTCAGAACTGTAAACTCTGAAGGAATGCAAAATAATGGTTCATACTTCATTGAGAGGTTTTTATCAGCCATGTTTTCCACCATAATTCCAGACTTGAAGACTGTCAATCTCAGCCACCTCAGTTTTTGTGATTGGTTGCTGCTCAGCTGCTGGGATCCGTGCCATGTCTGGTCACTAGGATGTTGTGAATCTAACCTAGCTGTATTGAGCGTGAGAACTGAGAATTCACGTCTGTTCACAAATTGCCTTTTGACAAGCTGTTGGGCTATGATTGGATGCCTCGGGCAGTTGGAAATGAGGATGCTTGGAACCGTCTGTAAGCTACACATCTGACAGTAAATGACGTGAAGAGGGTAAATGATCAGTAAGATAGTAAGCTACACGTTTAACCCTCGTCCGTTTTGCCAGCCGCGAACATATAGGCGGTCTTTTGAACCCCCACCCCACCCCCTTGTCGTTTGGCCCCTGATCGGGCTAGAGCTTCACGGAAAAAGCGAGCGTGTTGCCCGTGATGAGAGGAAGCTGATGATACCTTATTTTATGGTCCTACATAGGTCTTCGGTTGACCTTTCACGTCAGGTCAAAGACCCAAAAGTCGGGAAAGTCGGGACTTGTTAGAACGTCGTAGCATGGATTATCCATGGTCGGACGTAGTGTGACGGTTTCTGAATGAGGGTTTTCGGGGTGCTGGTCATCATCATGATCATGAATTTTATGCTAGTTTTGATCACAGATGATGTTTTCATGCACCAAATCCTGACCACCATGCGATCAGAAAATTCCTTACTGTCTGAAGAATTTAGGAGCCACATTGCCAGACGTGGTCCAGATGACGTGTAGGGTCAGACTTGATGACCTGACCATTCCCCCCCTCCCCCAACTTGAAGGTCGCTCCGTATACGCCTCTGCACATATGGATGCAACAGAGGCACTATTTGCCGTTCACCGGACCTGAATCGCTACTGAGCATATGACGCCTAAGGACAAATTGTCTGAACTATGCCCACCTTTCCCTATTTGCCATGCTCATAGCCCACCTATCACCATTAATCCAGGTTGATGAATTGTTTGATTTGTTTCAGAAACAATGGGGTTTCCTAGCACTGGCAAGCAGTTATACTTGGGAGAAGGAGACTTTTCTTTCACTCGATCTCTCTGCGAGAAAGATCATCTCCCTAAAGGCGCCATCGTTACTTGTTACAGTAAAGACCTAACTGATGAAGCCTCAGACAACTCGGCCTATCTACAATCAACAGGTAGGAGACAATTATAAAAATATTTGTTCATGACAATTTAAGCCTTGTTCAGTTGTCTAGCTGTCGCAGGCTTACGGTAACCCAGGAACCCTACGACTAGATTTATTCATTCAAATGTCATCCTTGATCTTCATCTCTTACAGGCATAACGGTGCTGACCGGAGTTGATGCCACAAAGCTCGCTTCGTATGAAGCAATCAGTGGTAATCGCTATGATTACATCATATTCAATTTTCCTCACACGGGTCACAAGATGAAAATTCACCTGTGCAGAGCGCTGTTGCGGGACTTTTTGGCATCAGCAGCACCACTTCTAGCGGATTCTGGCCAGGTAAGATGACGATTCGGGGCTTAATGTGATGAAGTTCTTTTCGCACCCCTGAGCGTGACCGGCCAATGCACTCGATAAAGCGAGACTGATAACGTTTACGGTAAACTTCATAACCATCTCCCTTCCCTTGGGAAATGATGTGCATGGCGAGTCAGTCGCGGTAGGACAAAATGGTTATGACATTTTTATCAAGTTTTGATGTCTTGGAACATAAAAATTGGCCTCTGATTTTCCGATCAGCAATCATGCTTCCTGCAGGTCTGGGTGACGCTGTGTGTTTCCGGCAGGTCTGATTGACTCTGTGTGTTTCCGGCAGGTCTGGGTGACGCTGTGCGCCGGCCAGGGCGGCACGGCCGGCGACTCGGTGCGCCGCGCCTGGTCCGACAGCTGGCAGCTGACGGCTCAGGCGGCCGCCGCCGGCCTCGTGCTGCGCCGACTGGAGCCGTTCCAGGCCCAACAGGTGCCCGGGTACCGGCCGACCGGGAACCGCGGCAGTCAGAGCCGCACCTTCCATACCAGGTGCGTGCCGCAGCGCCTCCCTACTGTCAGCCCGCGTGTCCCACTCCCGGAACTCCTATCCCGGCGAGTCCCAACCACAAGACTTCATTCAGCGTGTCTAAGCATATGGAATATGGAGCTTCCTGTCGGCGCTGGACCGTCTGGTGCGGAGCAGAGCAGTCTTTATGGTTGGCTATATAATCACAGCATAGGTCATCCGGTGTAAGATATCGTATCACTGAGTCTACTCAATGTTGCGTCGGGTCGGTGTTTCAGGGACGGTCTGATCCACGTGCTGGAGGCCGGCCGGCCGCTGTGCCCGGACACCGTGCGCCGGCGGCTGCCGGGCGGACCGGCACGCCTGCTGCTGGACGGCACGCCGCTGCCGCTGGCCCAGTACTGGCTGCGCCGACTGCCGCCGGACGACAGCTCGCTGGCCGCTCACGTGGTGCGCCGGCTGGCGGCGGGCGCGACTCCCCGTCCCCGTGTGCTGGTGGAGCACGACGGTCGCTGTTACGGCGCCGGGCCGGCGGAGCTGAGTGACGCGGCGGCCGGCGGGGACCTCGTCTGCCGGTCGGACGGCGGCGGCTCTCCGGAGGAGGGTTCCGGTGCCGGACAGGACGTCCGTGTCACATACACCGTACGGGACGGGGAGGTGGGCCCGACGGTGGCGGACGCGCCGCTGCGGACCCGACTGACCATCAGTGGACCGGCCGACGCCGCGCCCGAGCCGCGACACGCGCTGGCCGCGTTCGGCCTGGTCTGTAAGAAGAGTCGCCAGGAGGACGGGCTGGAGCTGCGCGCCGGCTGCGGCTCCGGCTGGCTACCGGTGGCTCGAGTCCGGACGGGCGACACGGACAGCTCCACGGTGACGTTTGATGTGGACGCTATCACCGCGTGCTGGGTGCAGGAGGACGACTGGCGACACGCGGTGCGCTCCGACTTCACCGCCGACGGCACTGCGCTCCGCCTGCACAGTGTCTATCCTCCGAGCTACTCGCTCGACATGAGCTTCTGGGTGAGCGGCGGCGGCCCGTCGGACGCGCCCTTCTCGTGGTGCCGGCTGCGACGCGCGCTGCGGGCAGCGCTGGGTGAACTGCTGGTGCGGCTGGAACTGATTGACGAGTACGAACAGCCGGACAGTGGACGGCGAGCGTGCACGGTGCGACTGGAGTACCAGGACCTGAGCGGGCCGCTGTCACACGGCGGCGTCCGACATCTGCACGAACAGGTGCTGCCAGAGGTGCTCCGAGACGCGCTAGGTGTGGACACTCGGTGACAGAGTACGCCTCCAGGCAGAGAATCGCTGCAGGAATAAGGAACACTACTTTATAAATGTTTCGAAAATACGACCATCGTTAAAACTGACATATTCCATGATGACGCGTTTGTTATCGTAAGTTATCAAGAAGCTGTGATATAGTGTGTCGCTCATCTTATCGCTCTTAGTGTTCAGGGGGTTGTGAGTGGTAATAAAAGGCTCAACAGCCGTCAGGCCGATTAACTTTGTAGTTTGTCGATAGCGAGACAACAAAAGGTTCACGTGATCGGATGCCTAGAACGGATTTTGTTCTACAGGTACCCCGCCAGTGGTATACCCGGCATGGGTTTAAAATCCGCTGGTTACTCTCTGCCAGGTAGGTATGAGATGGGATACTATAACCGATGAAAATGGTGTAACATCAAGAGGCTGAAAATATTCCTTGTCTGACTAGAATTCATACAGCTCTCTGACGGACTTGCATAATTGATCTACATTCAACCTAAAAAACTTAATAGCATAACAATGTATTATCGATGATGGAATGATTGTTCGCAATCGCAGGTATGCCCGGCAGAGACCCCAAATCCAACCCGAATAAAGCTTGATACCGCTACCAAGCCATTGCAGTTAGTGGCAGCATTCTTGCAATGCATTGGTCCCGATAAGTTAGCATCGATGGCATTCTGGTCAATTTGTTCTCACAAGAGTTCCCAAGTTGTTGGAGCGAAACAGCAGATTGAAAGCGTCAACATTGAGACTCACGGAATACATGATAAACTCTATGGCTGTTTCCCAAATCACACTTTGGAAACAGAAATTAGACAGAACGGCACGCACACTATGTAGCGGTTACGAGACTGATGTCAGTTTGACGTTTGGCGAACGATCAAGACGGACACGACCAGTGAGCAAAAATAAATGTCAGGGATAAAACTCTTATGACCATACACCCCAGACCAGTAGGTCATCTTCGATGGGTGTATCGTTTCGCGTTTCGTGAAATTCGTACACCCAATGTGGTCCCAGCACCGGATTATGTCGCATTTCACACCACACTGTACGCCGATACGCCCGATAAAACGGGCAATAATGACAACACGTCGCCCCTTCAAGTACAATACCCTCAAACAAAACACAAAAACACATCAACAAGCCTGTCACAATACGATTTAAGTTATCCACGCACTCCCATAGTCTACACTCTGTACGAATTGTGTTACGTGTGTGACTGGTGTAGTATGTACTGTGTCCTGATGTTTGCTGTTTGCGCATGTGTAATAGTGTATCGAATTACCCGGCTCTGCCCGGTGTAAGTTGTCAGTGTAATGGATTACGTTCGACTCTGTCCCATGTTCTCAGTGTAGTGTGTGTGTGTGTATCTCGCCCCTCTGTGCGTAGTGTGTTGTGTCTCTATCTCATCCTCTCTGCGTGTGCGACCCCCGCGGCCGGTCAGTGGCTCGACTGGTGGAACAGTACGTCCTCATCCTCGTCGTCGTCCGAGTGAGCCAGCAGCGGCAGCTCGGTCACCCGTCCGTCCCCCCGATCGCCGGAGCCGGGGCCGCCCTCTCCGGTCAGGAGTCGGCGCGCCTTCAGCGCCGCGTGCAGCGTGATGCCGGCCACACAGGTGACCAGGCCGACGGCCTTCAGGGCGCCCAGCTCGTCGCCGGCCACCAGGATAGCCAGCAGCAGCGTGCACACCTCCTGAAGACAGAGAGGAACGGGGTCATCAGCCGTCATAGCGGGGCAGACACAGCAACAGTCATAGGACCCAGAGTCACACTTCCTGAAGACAGATGAAGCCATAGAGTCACACCGGGACGGAGACAGCTGGACTGGAGGGGTGGGAGCCATCTTGACACCACGGCAGGCACACAGCAGTGGGATCCCGTATCACACCTGAAGATAGGGACGTCACACCGGGGCGGACAGTGGACACAACAATAGCGGGATTCAGCTTCGCACCCGGATTGATGGGAACGGGATCCACAGCGTCACACCGTGTCAGACACACAACCAGAAGCTAGAAATCTGGGCAGCACCGACAAAGTCACTCAAGTGGCAAGGTCCAACTTGGCCGTTTGACGTGATATTCCATTTGTAACCCAAAATCGCCACGCATAAAGACCACCGGACCATAAAAATCGAAAAGCAAACCTTTGCTTCAATTAGCGGCGGCTGCTCCTCGTCTACTGCGGACCACCCTTATAACGGGTCTTCTTTCTCGACCGCCGAGAGCAATCAACTCTGAGCACCAAGTGTGATCGACTCGGGACGCCAGGATCTCACCTTGAACACGCCTGCCACGCAGAGTGTGACGCTGGAGGTGACTCGCAGCGCCAGGAACTCGGCGGCGTCCATCAGAAAGGCCAGCAGGCAGCCGAGCAGCACGTGACCGGCCGACGAGACCATCTGGCGCGGCTCAGAGTAGAGGAACAGGTCGACCGAGGTGGCCACCGCGGCGCCTGGAGACAGACGGATAGCCAGGGTCAGATCTCGGTCTGATACAGTACCATTGCGCCACCGGAAATTTTGCAGAACGAGGAAGGGTTGTAGCATCAATCGGGTTATGTTTCATACAGACGCGTCCCTCTTCACAGTGAACTGGAGCACAGTAGTAAATGAGACCTGATTTATGATCATAAATGGGTCATGAGCAATAAGCCGGTGATAATGACAATAATAATTGCATCGAGCCGCTGCATAATAAGGAGAATCATTATGACCTCGGACTCTCGTGGCCACGTCACCGGGTCCAGGACCATCACCAGTCCGATTGATTGCTGCAAAGACTACTGCTCAAACTCAAAGTCGTGACTATAGCTCAAATGGTTACATGACGGCGACAGAACGACAGGTTAACGACGAGGGTACGGTGGACACTGAACGACCGATTTTTTCACGCCTAAAACCTTAGGTCTTTTCAGTTTTCACGTGCATGCATAGAATCAACTCCCAAATCAAACTGAACATGCTTCAATAGCCGCATTTCATTAGATGGCCTTGAGCACGTTATGCGCGGTGGCGACCGGCCAAGTGGTGAATATGGTTATTGTGTGGCGGACAGGCGGCACCGGCACCGTAAACAGCGGCCTGTCACCGCACACTGCCGACAGGTGTGTACGGTATCGATCTGCCACGGCAGTTCAGCCGCCGCAAATGGCACGGTCCGGGCGAACCCTCCACCGCAGACATACCACAACAACGACAGGTTCACAACGGAGCGTGACGATATGGAAAACATGATCGGATAAACCGCAAAAGCGATGGACTCAAACAAAGCTCACTTTGTTACAGCCGGAGTTTGATGTTTGATGATCTGCATTGGCAAACATTTTCTCCGTTCACCCACCTTCGAAAAACACGGCGAACGGCAGCAGTGAGACCATCATCCAGGGCTGGATGTGGTAGATCATGTCTATTGGGTTCGCCAGACCGAGCTCCTCCTTCTGCATCAGGATTTGGGAGAGCGTCCATCGAAGGCCGCTGAAACCACGTCCGTCCGGCAGTTAATGGGACAGATAGGGACATAGATGAAAGCTGAGCACCGTGATGTATCTGCAGTTGGATACAAAACAGGTTGTTTAGACGCAATCGAAAGCAGTGAATCGAACATATGTGACAAGGGATACGTGGATTAATGAATTAAATGAGGTGCAGAAGCAGTTCACAATACGAGTGACGAAGAACTGCCAAGAAAAGGTGGGCGATTAGATGTCAGAAACAAGCAAACAAGTCAATATGTCTCAAACACAAGACTCAAACTCAAACTCAAGACTTAACAAGACTCAAACACCGGTTAACACCTCGTAAGACGGTCAAGAGCTATACAGGGTGCACAAAAAGTTCTGGCCCTCTTACAGTAAGCGCTCCTACGCGTACTACGGTTGCTTTTCGGGAAGCCAAAAGCCGCACGCAATATCTTCAATGATCCTGCTACACAGCCAGATGTCGAACAAGCAGTTAGCAGACCATTAACGGCCAGTCATGGAGGCAGGCTAAACGTTACATTTTCGTTGGATACCCGCGCGCGGCGCGGCTAAAAACGGGCATGACTGTTGAGCAGGTTGCGATGAAATTTGGAGCCCCCTGCGAACAATTACGCGTATCAAAGCCAAATACCAATAGGGGAGATCCTGGAATATGCCCCCAGGTCAGACCGGTCACGTCCAGTCAAAACTCTGAGAATGTGACTGCCGTGTCTCAGGCCATCCAGGACAGCCCACGGCTCGGGCGGCAAAAAGTGCCTAACCGTCTTCATTAACGCCAATTAGAAGATAAATGGGACGATGTATGAGCGTCTGCTTGACAGTGACGTCATCCCATGGATCCTGAAGACGTATCCAAAAGTCGATTTCGTTTTCCAGCAGGATACTACATCCGCAAACAACGCAAGTTCCATCCAGCACAAGCAAACGGAGGACTGAGGAGCTCGGGGGAGAAGCCCATTGTTGGCTTAATGACATATTGCCCCCTCAGTCACCCGACCTGAACCCCTTGACTAAAGCGTCTAAAGCGTTTTGCAGGATGAGGTCCAGGGAGTGTCCCATCCCAATTTGGAGGCCCTGAAGGCACACATCGTGAAGATGTGGGAGACGAAGGACCCCACCTACATCATCAAGACATGCAAGTCTTTCCGCCTACGTGTGGAGAAGGTCATTGCCGATAAGGGGGTTATATCGCGCATGAGGTGAGTGAACGTATCTGGTTTGATAATGCAAACCAATATTTGGTGTTAGCGTTGATAATATTCACTCCGATTGCATTCGTTTATCGAAGTACAGAAATGGGCCAGAACTTTTTGCGCACCCTGTACAAGCGGCCTATGCCCCCACTGAGTCACATTTAGATAGACATTGAATCGCGTTTCGATCTACACCTTTTTAGGCGCAAATTAATCTAACTGAAGACCAAATTAAAACAAGTGAAATCCAATTTAAGACAAGTGAAGCCCATATTAAAACAGTTGAGATCCAAATTAATCTTTGTGAAATGCATTTTAAAACAATTGAAATGCAGTTTAAAACGCTTGAAAGGCCGCAGAATATACGAACTGCAGAAAGCTATTAGTGTCGCAAATGATTGCCAATGAGTGATCAATTTGCTTATGATTTCAAGAAGAAAATGTAAAATCAAATACCAAATGACATAGTCTTTATTTGTATTCTTTCCAGGACGAAGACAAAAACCCTGACCGGGCAGGAGGTAATATCGCTGTGAGAAACCAATGCCATCGTATATTG